CTCACAATATTCTATTACATAAGATCCTGAGAAGATGTTATTTGAACTAAAGCCTTGTTCATAGGAGAAATTTTATTGTTGCTGTGATATCCTGAATGTTTTGCATATGTCTCAGATACTTGGAGAGACATCATTCTTGCTTCAAATGTGGCTGTAAGTGAAGCCAAAGAATTCCCCTTCAGAAGGGTTTGAAGCAGTTATAACTTTCCCATCATGTAATAATGTAAGAAATGTTTCTTTGACATAACCTCCTAATGAACATAATGGCAGCTAGTCTTGCACACTGTGCTTAGCAACTTTGAATTTTGTAATAGCAATGATCTTCAAGGTCTAGTAGTCACAATAGCACCTCATTGTTACTTATCAGAAAGGTTTTGCACAAAAGGTTATATGTGCAAGTTTTCTGACACAAGAGTTGTGGTTGGGAGACTTGCAAGATGTGCACATGAACATCTGTAATTGGTGAAATTATCTCTGCTACAAGCAGGTTATTGATTCTTATAGCTACATTTGCTGGAGGTTTACATTTATGTTCCAAATAAAGTTCTTTTCACTAACTGTTCTCCTTTTACATGTGCTACTTGCTATAGTGACATCAGGCTGACTGTGTTGCTTGCAGATTATGCTAGAACCCAGACATTCTACAAACAGCACCAGTTGCTGGGGAAGAAAAGATTGATGAGTTCCTTGTGAGATGGCACATAACTGAAGACTACAAGAGAGGATATGGCAATGAACTAATACTCTGTTCACACATCATTGGAAAAGCCCAAGAGAACTGTCAGTTGTTTAGTCATGTTCTTCCTGCAAAGACCTCTGTCTTGAAGTTCTTCATTTAGGTATGTCTCTTCTTCCAAATGTTCCACAAACTTCCCCAAAAGGATCATCAACTGGGAACCACTTCTTTGTGTGTGCTATTTCATTTCCTCACTATATCAGCTGAAAAATAAGGTTTTCTGGAATGTGAGGGAAGAGGGAACAGAAGGAAAATAAAGGAATCTGTCAAACACATTGTATCTTAGTGGGCAAAAGGGACAAGGTTAAAACAACAGTGCCTATAGAGTCATGAGACATGACTCAAAGGCTCTTGATAGTGTGTATTTATTATTTACACAAGATATAGGAAATGTCTTAAAGTTGTTCGCCATAACTTTGGATGTTTTTGTTCATGGATTACATAGGAAACTTCTAAAGTTTGAGATATTTGAATTTGGACAAGACATGAGCAAGCAGAAGACAGACAAAAGGGGTAGATAATGGAAATTTCAGGATTTACTAAAGATAAAGAGAATCAGAGCCCTTTGTCTGATTAAACAAAATGAAAGACCACCTCAAAAATTTGAAAAAAAAAACCAACAATGGTATAGTTGTGAAAACTTGACTGGATGATGAAACAGAACAGTCAGAATTGATCTTCCACCAAAGATGAAAGTTTGTCTCTGGAAGTAAGAAAATTCTGTACATTTATTTAAAACAAATAAAGAAACACATGGCATAAAAATTGTTATACATTCTAAGAAAAGAATATTCATAAGCGGATATAGGATCAGGGAAGAAGATATCTTAATTTAGGGAGCCATTTTAGGGTTGGCAAGAGACTTGGCTCTAGAGGGTATCTCTCTTGCTTGGTCACTCCTAGCCTGTACACAGGTTGCAAATCTAGGCCCATGCAATATATAACCATGCATACTACAGATTGTACCGTAGTTTTTCTGTTAGTGGTGTTAGTTTGAAGGGAGCTCAGGAAAGAACCTTAAAGCAGGAACCTAGACCCAAGAAGTTAAGGAGATACCACAGGGAATGACTATTATTTACTTGCCCTAATTGATTTACTCATATTACTTTTTATGTTATTCAGGATCACATGCCCAGGGATGGCACTGACCACTGTATGTTGAGTAATTCCACAAGAATGAAATGGTATTATTTTCCCACTTCTCTGAAGACTTTACCCTAACCAACACAATTGATAACTTAATTACTTGACTCACAATCACATTGATATTTAACCAATAAACTTTATTTGCTCATGTATTTCTAATATCTCATTTTAACATTGATACAAGGAAAAGCACTGCAACATTTTGTAATTTTTATTGAGTATTAGAAACTATTTTTACATACCAACACAGTTTTCCCCTCTTCACTCTCTTCCAATTCCCTCCCACCACCTCCTTTCAATCCCCATTCACTTCTCCTCCATCAACATTCAGGAAAAGAAAGGCCTCCTAGCGGGAGTCTATAAAGTGTGGCATATGAAGTTTAGACGGAAGCAAGCTCCTCACTCCCTGCATCTATGCTGAGTGAAACATCTCAGCATAGGTACCAGGTTCCAAAAAGCCTACTCATGTACCTGGTACCACTGATAGAGGACACACAAATAGATCAAGATTCACAGTCACATTCAGAAGTTCTTGAGCAGTCCCTTCTAGGTTCCCTATCTGTCAGTCCAGAGTCTGTGAGCTACCATTAGTTTGGGTCAGCTGTATCTGTAGCATTTCCTGTAAGATCTTGACCCCTCTTACTCATATAATCCCTTCTCTCTCTCTTCAACTGTACTCCTAGAGCTTGGCCCAAAGCTTTGCTGTAGATCTCTGAATTTGTTTCTGTCAGTTATTGACTGAAAGCTCTATGATGATGATTATGGTAAGTTAAACAACGGAGTATTGCTCAGTGATAAACACAATGGAGGGGATGAATGATGGGATCATGAGTGATTGGGATTGCCAAGTTGGGGGAGGGACCAAGAAGGAGAACAATGAAAGAGATATAATGATAGAGGTGGCCATTATTAGGTTATGAAGAAACCTGGTGCCAGGGAGACTCCTAGGAATTCGCAAGGATTTCCCCAGCTAAGACTCCTAGTAATACAGAAAAAGGTATCTGAAATAGTCTTCACTTGTAAGCAGTCCAACTTTTAAAAGTCCATTAGTCTTAGAAAATGTCAACATTTTAAAATTACAAATGTCTCTTCAAAATCTCAATGTTTCTGTAAATATCCAATTTTTCCAATTCTGTGGTTAGTAAAATAAAAATGGCATACATTTTAATATGTAAGGGAGAACATACACTCACTCTGTACCAAGCTTTAGCTGCCCTCCATGACCCTTTTATGCCTTAACAATCAGTAGAATGTGAGAGACTCAAAGAGTACCAAATTAAGCATGCAGCATGATATATAGACTTTGCCCACTTTGGAACAGAGATTCTATATGCTGATCATTTATAAATTCTCACAGAACCTTTCTTTCCCACGAGTCTCTATTAAATCATTCCATTTTAATTTCACAGCCTCAGCTAACCAACAGCTACTGAACCAGAAAAACAGAGATTTTACTTCAGTAGTGCAAGTCTCTTGCACATATAAATTGGTTCATCATCTCTAGATGTTCAGAACAAGAGATTAGAATTACAAATAGTATGAGAATAACCATGATAATAGCTCTGCTACTTTTTTAAACTTTACAAACTAGGTCTCCTTAATCTGTACTCTTCCTTGCATAATCTTCCAAGTTTCCATAGAAGCTAATTACTCTCCAAACATTTAATAATTTTTCCAGTCCAAAGTTCCAAAGTTACACATTCAGATTATATGTAAACAATGGAACAATCATGGTTTTATAGTTTTTGTGCTACATTAATTTGTATTATATGTTTTTCTTTGTATTCCATGTGATTTGGGACACAATTCCTCCAAATAATCAGAGCACACTGGATTCTTCTTCAAATCTTCATATCATATGTTCCTAAATTTTTTATAGTATTAATACTCAGATCTTCTCTGGACCTCTTTTTTTGCACACCTATTTTTTCATCACTGAAAAGGGATTCTTTATTTAAAAACCAGTGTAACAGCTGTAACTGTATCAAGATTCAATATTTAAGAATTTTATTTTATTCAACCTATTTCTATCAAGGTACCCAGAGTATGTTTGATTCAATAGTCAATTTTTTGTCATAATAGTGTTTCATCTGTCTTTAGAAAGGAAATTGTTTGCTCTATGGTAAAGAGTTATCAGTTCTGAAAGAATACAACTTAGTCAAAATACTTAAACTTGCTGTGACTTGGATGACTTGGAGAATAGTATCACTTTTGAGTGATCACTAATGATTTATCTAATATATAGGTCTTCTTTTTATGACAATTATAACTATGTTCAACATCTTTTATAGGTTTATTTTATCTTGTAGCCCTTCAATAGACATGGTTTCAAAAGATAAGATCTTAGAGTATAAATAACACCATTTAATACTTAGGGAAAAGAAGACAGTATGAACATTCCAATTGCAACAGATCCCTTAGGTTCAGCATTCTTAATCTCAATGGAATGGAGAGAGCCATGTGCATACAAGCCTTTGTCTACTTCTAACATTATGTCCCAAAGAAAAGTCAGTGGCATACAGAAACTGTTAAATGCTTTGTCTGAGATGAATACAATAACTTTGTTTCCTCCTGTATTAAAACCATTTGTTCATACATTCCATAAACTGACACTGTCTTTGTCTTCCAATGATATTGTTAACACAGAATAATACAGACATTTCAAATAAAAATCTATGTATAAGGCATAAAAATAGCCATGAACAAATCCAGAAAAAATATTTCCTAATAACAGCCACTCCTTAATTTTAACAGTGTTTCCTTCTATCAAACTCAACCTATGCTTAGATAACTCAATCAAGCACACTGAAGAAAATGACTTTGAAGGTCTGAGATAAAACTCATTAATAACTCAGTAAGTAGTATATAAGAAAATGATGTCACTTATCTAGAATATAGCAGCAACTCTCTTAATTCAGGTCTGCTGTTGATCAGAGTAAGACGCCTTTCAGCAAAACTCAAATGCTTTTCAGGTATTACCTTAGCTAGATAAGAGGAATCCTTCATCAATTTCATGTTGATATCTGATGTGTATAAATGACTAAACAAATAAATAAGATATCAAAAATGATTGGTCCACAAGCCTTTGAGAGAATTATTTGATTTTGATATTACTTATCTAGAATAAACAGAATCTGAGCAAAATGAAATCATGACTCATAAGAAAAGGGCACAAAGTGGGAAAACACATAGAAATGAAGCTTGTGAAGATTACCAACCACCAATTGGCCTTATATAAAACAGCAATGAAACCTTGTAAAATGGAAGAGAGGGTATAAAAAACAACAAAAGTAGTCACAAGAACCAGAATGCTCTGGGTGGTTCTAGACTCAGGGGAGATTCTGATGGAAGTTTGATTGCGCCGGATATATTGAATCAGCTGCTTGTGTTTATGAAGAATTGCAATCATGGAGCCACTTGACCAGATGATGAATAGAGAAAACAGGACTTCAGGGAATACCAATAATGCTATGTACAGTAATTCTACAATTTTTTCATGTCCCAAAGCAGAGCAGAATGTAAAATCTCTTTTCACTGTTGTATTTTTCTGACTCTGTTTGATATGCACAAGAACAGGAAAAATGAAATTTATGGCACTGTATAGGACCCAGCAGAGAGAAATAGAGAAACCAATGTGATTTGGAAATTTGAATTTAATGTTCTTCCAGAAGGAATTCTGTGGACTAATGGTGATGGCCTGGTAGACACTCAAGAGGCAGGTAGTTCCCATAGACATGCTTCTACCAAGTCTTTGAATATACAAGAAAAGTTTGCACATGAAATCATTGAAAAACAGTTTTACCCCCAAAGCTACCATTGTATGGGGCACCCCTTTAGAGAGAATGATCAGAAAGTTGGCTGTGATTAAATGTGTGAGGATCAAATCCGTGGGCTTCAATGTATGTTCATTATAATAAATAATTAGATATTTGGAAAGAAGAGAGATGTTTCCCAGAATTCCAAAAGTACTTTGTGTTAAGAATATTATTATTATTGCAAAATTCTTCAAGTTCATTTTGTCATTTAACAACATATTCTAAAATAATAGCAACAATTGCATCTCTGAGCAAAATGATGAATTCAAGATTTTATTGCTTAGGATGTCAATATGAGAGAACCACTTGAGTTCAGGGAAAGAAAGCCAATGAGTGCAACAAAGCAAGATTCTGCCTAAAATCTCATATATCTTGGCAAAGATAATAACTGTCATCATGATTGTTATAGTCTGCAAAAGCACATATTTATAAAGCAAATATCCATGTATCATTTTTAGAATATTCAAAATTTAAAATATAGCATTTTTATCATGAGATATCAATGACTCTCCTCTGAAGATGAAGAGAACACTAAATTGCCCATTTTTGGATAAACTCTGACAATCACTCATATCATAAAAGAAGAGATTTGCATCAACATCTTTGTGAGGAAACTTATCCATTCTGAGAAGACTATTTATCCAAAGTTTAAACAAAATAAAAATGTTATAATAACAATGTATGTATCTCAATGGATCAGCAACAAAATATTTATTGCCAATCATAAAACATACTTATTGTAATATTCAAATATCAAATTGGATAATGTTATGTTGAAATTTAGTACTTATTCATTTCCCCTAACTCTCTAACTTGCAAGCCATATCTACAAATAAATATTTAAAAAGAAATTTTCATTGAAAAAATGTGAGTTAGAAGAAAAGTACCTTGAATGTATTTGAAGGACTGCTGGTATTTTTCTATGATAGATGTTATTCAACCATGGACCTATATCATAAAGTCAAGCATGAAACACCAATTAAAATTAATAATGATGACAAAATTAAAACAGCATGGTTTTCAGTGAATCATTTATAATGTAATGATCTTTGGACTCTTTTTGATAAAGAAACTGGTACAAAGAATGACATTCATCAGAATATACTTTCTTATAGGAGTCAGTTGAAATTCTAACTTTTGTTGGCATCATTATTACTCATCCTCATAGAGTTTCTGGTTTGCTATGATTACTGAACACAAAGTAATGATGTTGATGAATCCATTATCCCAGATCTTGCAGAACAAGAAAATAATGTGTAATAATTGGAAATGTCTAATGTGAGACTTGACAAATCCTGAAGACACCCAGAAAGATAGTTACGTGGAAATGAAATACCCCCAGATCTTGCAGAGCAAGAAAATAATGCGTAATATTTGGAAATGTCTAATATGAGACTTGCCAAACCCTGGAGACACCCAGAAAGACAGTTACTTGGAAGTGAAATACGCATCACATTAGAAAACCAAGTTTAATGACCTTAGTTCATATTCAGTAGAGAAATGGTAGAGGTAATATTCAGAAGAATCAGTTCTTCCAGAATTCCATCTTTATCTTGGGAATCCCAGGATTCTTCTTATTTTTCAATTCCTAGAATCATTTTACCAGTTTCCCTTGATTTTTGCCTTTAGATGTTACAGAAAATTTAAGATTCTGAAGAAAGCACTCAGTGTGGTGACATTTATCCATCAACTGAAATCACGTATTCTCACTGATCAGAACTAACATAAGGCTTTATTATCAGATAAGGCTCCTTGCAGTTAAATTTTAAAACTGAAAACAGAATTTGCAATTGTTCTTATAACACCTTTTGTGATTATGTTGATATTTGATATGAAAGATGATGTTTCATTCATTGCCAAAACATTCATTGCCAAATCTTAGGTATTATTTGGTCAATGATTGTCAAAATTCATAACAGAAGTAGGGAGACTAAACTGAATGCTGGGAGAAACTAGTGAGAGTTAGGGAGATACCATGTAGCTGTTGAAGGAGACAAATGACCTGGAACCTTACTGGTAAACCACAAACCTCATAGTAAAAAATAAAATAATGGAAATGGATTAATTTAAGATTTTAGAGCTAGCTAGCAATAAGCTTAAGCTGTTGGACAAACAGTATTACAACTGTTAAACTACTTTCTGTGTGATTATTTGGGTCTGGGTAGCCAGGAACAAATGAGAAACCTCTGCAAACATTTGCAGATGTTTCTTCATGTGAAAGTTTCCTACTATTTCTGCAGAATTGACAAATATAAAGCCATACAAATAAAAGCAGAATACAAATTTTCTACACACGTATTCAGCAATTGGTTTTTTAGAAATGAATGGAGAAGTAAACATGTACACCTTTCTCTAACCCAGAAGCAATATTTAATTGATTAACTAATTGTAAATGAAAATGTTGTTTCCTCAAAAGTATCTCATTTAGGAAGCAATCTTTTCTTTAATTTACTCTTTACGCAGTAGATAGTCATTTGCAATGAATTCAATAGTATTTTTGGAGCTTTCTTGTCTCATAATGTCATATTAGTGTTCCTACTTGCTTACTTTTTTGTTATTTTTTATTTTCCATTTTATTTTATTTATATATTTTTCTTCTCTACTACATGTCCTCCAAGTATATATTATAGTTTCTAATTCAGTGAGTTTTTTTAATATCTGAGCTAAATAATGATTGTCAGGTATTTTTGTGATTATTCATAGGGCTTTTTACATCTAATTGTTTGTTTTGTGCAATTGTAAAATTTTAACTTTTATTTTATCTCATTAAATAGTTTTTTATTTCATTTTTATCCCATAGAAGCCCATTCATTTTCTAAAGAGAGAGAGAAAGATGCATATCTGGATAGGATGACAGGAGGAGAGAAGATGGACAAAGCAGAGGAAGTGAAAAACCATAATCTGGATGTTTTATCTAAGAAAATAAATATATTTTTAATGAAAGGTAAAATGTTCATGAAAATATATTTAAATAATTTTAAGACATTAAATAGTAAGTTATAAATTATTTGCCACAATGAAATAACAAATTAAATACAGGGAATCATGGAGCTGGCTTGGCCTAGTTTGCCTAGAAATGCATGCCTCATAGGTTGTTCAGTTTAGTGTTCATGACTCTTGAGGCACAATGTCCCTTCCAGTTTATGAGAGAATAATATCCTCTCTCAGACAGTAAACTGTTCAGGCCATCTTGAATCTCTCTATATATTTCCATAATTACCAATGAATCATGGAAAGTTGCAAGGACAATTGGTATTAGACATTAAACTTGTATGCCCAATATGGTTTGCAAATATTACTGTATCTTGGTAACTAAGAATATATTGATACTAGCAATTAGTATTATATTGTGTTTCTGATAAAAGTATAAAAAGTCTGATTGTTCTAAAAAAAATTGTCACAGCTCCAGCTTGCTGTGACCCCTCCAAATGGCTTGATTTCATATTTCATGGCCATATTAGGGAACTTTGGTCAGGTGAGTAGGTAAAAGTGCATGCAATTAGCGCAACAAAAGTGACTTAAGAATAAAAAGTATCCATCTTGTGCCACTATCTGCCAGTACTACTGATAACCTGACTTTGATTGATGGAAGGAGAAAATTGACTCTAGAATGTTGTATTCTAACCTCCTCATGGACACTATGAATCCTGTATGCAAGCCTCCTACACACACAAGCACATACAGATTACATATATTATTTGTTATATACATATATACATTTACTCATATATGTGAATATATGAATATGTGTGTAGCTATATATGTGTGTATGTATGTATGTGTGTGTGTGTATACAAAATTTAAGCCTTAACGGGCTAGGGAGACTACTTAGCCTATAAATCACTTGTTATATGTTATTTTAGTTTGCCTCAGCTTTCAACTTTAACACAGTCTGGGATTATCTATATAAATCTGCTATTATTGGAGCTTAACTAGATTATACTACCCTGTGAATGTTTGTGAGGATTTTTTTAAATTGCTAATTAGTGTAGGAGGGCTCATCCCATTATAAGTTGGAGAGCTATTGCTAGGAAAGAGGATATGTTAAAGAGGGGTATCTCTGCAAGTCAAAAAGCAATATCCCTTGGCTGACTTCATGCTCCTGCTTTTAACTGCTGTCTTGGCTTTCCTGCATAATGGACTACTACCTAAAAACTGAAATAAATCCTCCATACCCACACCAAATGGGAAAATCTTTATAATAAGCAAATTTTAGTCTTTAGTTTTATTTGTGCTAATTAAGCAGCTGGGGAATTTCATCCATTGATTAACTGCTAGTGACTGTTTGACTAAGAGTTGACTAACTTATTAACACCAAATGATCACCTCCTTTAGTAACTCACCATGAACATTGATTATGACCAAAAATTGACTATTATGATACTTTTGACTGGTTCTTACATAATATTCTGATTAACTCAGGTTTTAAGTTTATTTTTGGTATGTTATAGAGCCATGAATATGCAGACATGTGAATGATAGAAGCACAATGTGTGTGTACCAGTTTATGTTTCTTACTGTTACATAAGCAGGCTATTCTACATTTTTTGATTAATCTCTTTTAACTGGCTCATTTTACATCCAACCAACTCAAGCTACAATCATATGTAAGGGGGAAACCTATATTCAGAAAATGACTCCAAAACATCCAGTTCTGGGACCTATTGTTATTTAGTGAATGATGAAAAAAGCCCAGAATATGGTGGTTGGTGATATCCTTGGCCTGATATTCTGATATTCTATAAAAAAACATGGTGAGCAAGCCACAGTAAACATGCAGGTAAGCAGCAGCTTTCTCTTATCCCTGCAAAAGGTCCTGCTTCCAGATTTCTGCCCCACTTGAGCTTCCATCTAGACTTCCTTCAATGATAAATTGTGATATGAAAGCATAAAGTGAATAAACCATCTATTCTTCAAGTTGCTATGGCTATAGCATTTCATTCAAGTAATAGTTACCCGAACTTAGAAAATATAGAAACATCATCCTAAGTTCTTAAACATTTTAAATGCCCTATTCTGGTAGTTTTTGAAAGGTTTGAAGAATACGTATATATCTGAAATATATGTTTGTACGTCTAGAAACCCTACTTAATGTAACTAAAAGCTTGACTATTATGATTATCTTTTAACCTATATTTCTAAATTAAACATTACATTTTTAATGAGCTGCACAAACACAATACCTTAAGCTAGAGCAGAA